GCAGGTAGTAAAAAGGCCAGATGGAAAAAAGGTAGGAAGGTCCTTTATGATTTCAGCTGCCCCCCAGATTTTACATTTTTTTTTGGGCTACAGCACAGTATTTGATCCCAAATCTTTCTGAAGGCTGTAATCCCATCTTTCCCAAACCTGAAATAAAAGTTGCAGTTATCAACTGTTTAGCCAGAATGTACACTTAGAGAAATTAATACATGAGCTTCAGTGTGAATCCAGAGGGATATAAATATATAAAAGTTCTGTTTAAATGTATCCTTCTGAAAGCTACTTCTCCAGCCAAGGAAAAAACCTTTCTCAGCACAGGTCAGGTCAGGGAATAACTGATCTATTATAAACTGGCATAGAGAGGTCTCTTCTTGTGTAGTTTGGAAGTGGGTCATTCTCATTCCAAGTTTTTTGCAAGAGAAGGATGAAATCTTACAGGGGAACAAAGTAGCTATGTACAAGGGGTGCTCTGATTGTTTCACTTTCTTGACTGATCACATTAGCATTTGCTCTGATTATTAGGAGCAACTATATAATTTGAAATGCATGCCTCTGGAGTAGCTGGATTAGTTTAATCAGTCATAGCATAATTTTTCATTTGCATTTTGAATCCCTTAATGCAGATCAGGGATTAGTCACTTTAAAAAAATATGCCTAATTTCAAAACATTTCAGAATGTTTGCTCTTAAATGCATGATCAGAGAAAAAACAGGCAAAATTCCGTACTTAATTCACCATTTGGAAACTTACTGTAACATTCAGTAACAGATGCTTAGCATCTATAATAAAATAGAGCTTCATTCACTTCAATCTACCCCAACTGAGACACTGGCCCTTGTTAATGGACTATAAATGACTCTCAGGCAGTCACCATGCTGAAATGGCAGAAGGGAACACAATCATTCTCCTGAGCCTGCTAATGAGAGTTTCTTTATGAAGATGCTCAGTGAACCTCTCTATTTCATTGTTTTACCAGCTTGATTGCTAAATCTGACAGGATGTGATGTAACTTTATTAGCAGTAGAAGAAAAATATCAAAAGATGGTAAAACACGGAGCTATTTATAAGTAGTAGTACCTCCAAAAGGAGTACATACTGCACAGTTTATTTGAGGTTATTAGAGGCAAATCCACCAGTATAAGAAAAATATATCCCAAAGATGACTGTGCTTAGGAGAGCACATGGATACAACCAAGGGCATGTTGGATCATTAGGCCTCCAACCATGACAGGATTCTGACAGGCTACAAATTCACATCTGACTTGAGTGCAACTGAACATGGGCTGCTCTGCAGAATTTTTAAGAAAGTAAGTGTGTGAAAGAAGTCCTGAGACACAAAGTAGGTAGCTATATTTGAAGACTTTTCTTCCTAGGGTTCATTTTATTCATTAATTTGCTACAATAAGATTGCTCCTACAATACAGTTTTTGGTTGTCTTCACTTTAAAATTTTAAACAATTTAAAATCTAGTCTTTCTCTTTTATTTTTTCTCCCTTTTTCTTAAACGGCAGTATAATTGGATGCATTTTAGTATGAATTGTAATACTTCAGTTGTAGCTCTATGAGGAAGAATTTCCATACCTAACTCCAGGCTGTATATAGACTACATAATTGTATCTGAAAGTAAGATTTCAGTATTTCTTATTTTTCACCATCTGAATAAAATTTCGTGCATTTTTTATTGCAGTACATGTGCTCTGAACCATACAGCTCCATGACTAAAATCCAGTCTTTCATTTGCTTTTATGTGTTCTTTGTAAAATTGCAGCTGTTTCCTACTGTGAGAGCTGTGATATTCTCTTTAGTTCTAAAATTACAGATTGTATGAGAAGAAATAAATTGTTACACTTTCTAGCTTACATTTTGGACAAGCAGCACTCTTTGAAATTTTGAGCACTTACAAACCAACAAGTTACTGACTTGACATAAGCTTTTACTTAGTGTATACAATGTACAGGATTTTTTTTCCTCTAATAGGCTGGTTTGCCCTAACAGTGGGGTTACAGATTTATCAGGTGAATTATTTACCTTTTTCATCCCATTCTCAAAGATAGTCTTACCCTTGATAGTTTCTTAAGCCAACATGGCATGCTAGCCAGTTCTATATTTCCCATAATCTCCTTATCAATTTTTCTATCAACATTTCAAGACTGATGCTTATTAGTTAAATTGGAGTGCGTTTAAAAAACTGCATGAAAAGTTAATTGGAGAATAAGGGAATAATTTATGAGAAAAGATTGAGTTAAATATGTGTGACTTAAACATCTGTGTTTTTCATAAAGGTCTACGTATCTTTAACAGCAAAGACATTGTGACTAGAATTGTTAAAGGACTGTCAGTCACATGACTAGAATAAGGAAAAGAAACAGGTTAGGGTTTTTGCAAGTATCTGAAAATCAGAGAGAAAATAATGGTACAAACAATAAAGGCTTTGGCCAGCACATGTGATCTTTAGCATGCGCCAAGATCAGTTAGAAAATTCAAAGTCTCTGAAGAACCATGTGATTTTGAGACTGTTTATCATTTCATTCTCTGTCATGGTTGTTAAGAGACAGTCTGGATTTAAGAATGGTTGGAATTACAAATAAAATGAGTTTAGGTGCTTGGAATGTCTGAACTGGATGTGAATCAAGTACCAGGTAACAAGGAAAAGCATGCCCTGAGAAAGCATTAACAAAACTGGGATCAGTGTTTTAGTTTGGTTTTCTTTGTAGGTTCTCTTTGGTTTCATTTTGGTACAAAACTGTAACAGATTTTAAAAAGCCCCCAGTGATTTAGGAAAACTAAAATCAGGAGAATAGGACAGTGAAAAGAAATCTGAATCTCCAGATCTTTTACACAGGCCTTCTGTTCCACTGGGATGGAGCAAAAAATACTGTTCTCTTGAGAAGATTTCTGGTATTTTGTTCTCTTTGTCTTTAACTGGGGGAGAGAGATCTCAAAACAGGAATATATTAAGATCCTTTTATATAAAATGTTTCAGCAACTGCATTAATTTGTCGTGTTCCTGTGAACAGGTATTGGGAAAAACCCCATAATTACACTTGTGTTCACCATTTGAATCGCAATTTTTATGCCTTAGGTGGCTGTTTCAGAACCTGTTTCCCAATAGTACATTGTAATCAATTTAATGCATGTTAAAATCTCATTGTTTATTTGGGTACACTTATCAGCTGATGAAATTGCCGCTCATTGAAATT